TACCTGCATTCCCCTATAAGAAGCTCCACAGGCTGGCTTAGGCCTCCAAGTCAAGTTATTGGGTGCTCCAATGACACCAGAGGCTGTTGTGTCTCCTATGACAAGAGCCATTCCTTACCTAGATAAAAGAATATCCATCAAGTTACTGGCTGATATCAGTAAGGCCTGTTCAGCCTTGTTCAGTCCTTGAGAAAGCTTTCCCCTAGACATATGAATGAACACAACCACGTCTTCTGCTTGTCCTTTATAAACAGCAAATGATTAGAAGATCAAAATGAATGTTTTGGTAGAAAGAAGAGAATTCTCAGGTGTTCATCTCTGAGGCACTGAATTTCATAATTAATTTTATTCTCTAATTTCACATATTTTTAGGAGAACCCTTGAGGAGTCCAGATGCATACAGACACCAGCTTGAGGACCCGAGACAAAAGAAGAAAAGCAAAAGAAAGTAAAGTCTGTAGAAAGCAATACATCATCACAGATGTTGGATATCTCACTTGAGGAATGTCAGCAGTAACTAACCAAGTGCTTGAAGTCAATCACAATCCAAAGTCATTTAAAGAAAGAGCTGCTAGGTAAACTAGATGGTCAGAACAATATTTATCCCTGGTTCAGGACTTAGTCCTAGCTAGACAGTGTTGTAGGCCATCATATCTCTTTAAATTATCCACCAAATGTTCAGTGTAAAAAAATTACTGTTTAATTTCTCAAAGCAATTCAACTCAAGCTAAGATTTTTTTTTGTTGAAACATAATTTCACTTTAGATATAGAACATAGCTTTGGTTTTAGTATCTAAACCAGTGGCCTAAATTATGAGGAAAGAACTTCTCCTAGATCCCAGGGAAAAAGGTAATACCATTAAGGCCACTGAGTCTGGAAGAAAGGCCTTCATTTTTTCACTTGTATACTAGAACCCTTCAAGAAGAGAGTGTGATGAACCATACAAAGGTGGTGGGCATACAAGCATAGAATAAGACTAATAACACTACACTTTTTTCTCAGTAGGCAAGTGTAAGTTGAGCTAATTTTATGCTTGTGGAGGGAAGAGAAATCTAAAATTAACTGAGAGAAAAAGCCAAAAAACCTCTAAAGGAAAAAGAACCTCACCTTTCATCTGTGGAAGTACATTCCCAATCCATAGTCTTGTTTTTTGCCTATTTTAAATAGTCTTCTGGAAAGAGATCTGGATGAGCCTTGAGTTTAAGCTCTGCATCTCTTGTTGGAATGAAATTGCTGAGTGAAGAAGGAAGGATTCTGGTAAACTGCTGAAGTTCCACTGCAGCCTCTTGCTATATAGGAAATAAGAAACCTACAGACTGTTTAGAAAAATATAGAAAATGCAGAGAAATGCTCAGTCTGTAGGTTGAAGACATTTAGAATATTGATCGCACACTGTGGTGCTCAGGAAGAACTCCAGAAGGTGACTGGTCCCACTTTCTAACTTTCAGATGAGAAATATGTTAAGGAATGTCCTTTCATATTAATAAATGATAAAGGCACTGACGTAAGAGGCACAAGCATTTCACTGTGAGCAAGAAGAAGAAGAAGATACCTTGAAAAAAATAATCTGCCTGTGTAGATATCTAATGTTATGAGATATGGCTTGCCTTTTATTACTGCATTATATGGAAACCAGGAAAGAGCAGCCAATGGAAAAAGTACAATTTGTTATGGACAGCTTTTACAAGTTTCAGTGGGCACTTTGTTTTACAGTTTAGAAGGTGACACCAACCCTCCAGGTGGTGAGGCTAATGAAATAGTCCCTGGAAGTGTTTAAAAAAAGACTGGATATGGCACTTAGTGCTATGGTTTAGTTGATGAGGTGGTGTTAGGTCATAGGCTGGACTTGATGATTTCCAAAGTCTTTTCCAACCTATTTGATTCTGTGACACTGTGAAATCTGTCTGTCTTAAAATATTGAATCTCCCTTCCCACAAAGTCAGCAGTTCCAGAGCTACCTGGCATCCAGTCATGTAGGAGAGTAATTTTATTAGATATATGGTGAAATTTTGTATAAAAAGGAGGTAAACAGCCTTCCCTTCATGAAATGACCTAGTAAGAAGATAATTCATGGTGATAAATTCATGAAATAACGTGCGATGCTAGACACCAAGATACATTAGAGCTGCAGAAGTGTTTAAGATAGCTATCTGTCTGAGTTATTTGGCAGTATGCCTGCAGTTCCACAAATAATTTCCTATCAGTTAAAGGCTCATGTGTCACTGCTGTTACAGCTGATGAATGTGCAAACCTCCAGGTGGATGATTTGGAATTAGCTGTGGGTTAAATTGAATAAGAGGACTGCAACAGATAAGAGCTGCACAGGAATAAAAAATAATTTCTTTTTCTTCTTTTAGCTTCACTACTCATCACTGTCTCTGTGAAGACAGTTCTGGCTTTTGTAATTTTTATCATTTTTATTGGTATGCACAAAATAGCAATACACAGTTGAGAGTTGATTAAGGAGAACATGAGAAAGAGAAGGTTATCAAAATGCCTGAGGTGTTTTAAACTACATCCCTACTTTTTAGTTTAGAAAGTTATATTAAAATTTTGTGGCACTGCAGTTCCCCATTACTGCTGGACATTCAGAGAGCAAAAACTGGCTACAAGTTTTTATATCCTTATTCTTGGAAGAGTGGCTGTAAAAAAAGGAGCTGTCAATATGCTACGCATCAGAGCCAGGAAAACGGAGAAGATTGAGCTAAGCAGACCAATATTATTTATACATTCTTAGTTGCCTTGGAAATGCTGCCCTCAATAAAGACAAATTATGCCCAAGAATTTTTAATTGAAGGGGAGAATAAGAGGACTGACTTTAAATCGTCCTGGGAAACAAAGGTGATTATTTAAAAAACTCACAATCCCTTCTGCAACTTTGATAAGGAACAAATGTAATGTGAAGATACTTGGTTTTGAGGTTTTACATAGCCAAATGTGTTCATTTCACTGCTCATTTGGTTTTTCCTTCCTCTGTTCCCTTCCTTGGAAGGGTAAAAATAAGTAATTGAATAAATGGAAGTCTCTAATATGAAATTACATGATAAGAACATATTCTAGAATGCTAAAATACAGTTCTTACATTTCTCGCGGGACAGCACACCAAAACGTTAACTTTTGCCAATTTGCAAAAGAAGCAAAAGAATATCTGAAGGTGAATGAGGATATTACTCCTAGAGAAGGATATGGCACAGAGATGTGTGCAGACCATAATGGCATTTTAAATGTTGCAGATCATAGAAAGCCTATCTTCCCTGATCTCTAAGGTTTCTCAGTGCCTGCCAAAGCAGTAAAGGAGTGAGAGTAAGCCAAGTTACTGGGAACAAGCAGAGGAGTGCATTCAGGAACCTGCCAGCCTGCATCCACTTGTCTTCCATAAAAATCAATTTTTGATAACCCCAGAGCAGAAAAAATTACACAGTAGAGTATGTCCTCTGCTCTCACTGTAAGAGCAGAATGCAGTAGTGTCTGAAGCTTCTTTCTTGGTTTAGGACAGTGGAAAAATTGGAATTATTTGCTTCCATCTTCTGTTTATGAAAAAAGTCAGAAAAATTGGCAATATAAATGGACTTAGCAGAATCAGTCTTCCAAAGAAGGATCCGTTGGGATTGTCTGCTTTCAGCAGGGCTCATGAGCAGCCATGAGCAGAAGTGCAAGGAAAGCATATGCTCATCATTGAACACGGGAATGTTCCACTTCCCAGAAAACTCAGACAGCATGGAATTGGTAAATAAACATCACTTTACCTGTTCAAGATCTAATGGTGGAAGGCACCTGATTGTGCATCATTTGTCTCAATACTACCACCGAAATCAATTGATTGTGCAGAGGGTTTGCAGGATCACCCCCCTAAAGGAAAATGGTTTCCATGCTTGGAATATTTCTAGTATTCTTGCAAAATATGGCTGAAGGTGACTATTACAGTGGAATAATTAATAATTAGAGATCAAGATATCCAACTCAAATTTAATCATCTTCTTGCACTACTTAAAATATCACTGCCATCCTCAAATTAAGTCTATACCTCCAAGTGCAGGACATAGGTTTACAGAGCAGTAAATTTGCTAATTAGAGTTAGCAAAATTTTCAACATGTATTTTGAAATCAGAAGGTTATCATTGGTTTAGAAGACATCAGATTGGGCAGATCTTTCTAAAAATAAGGCTTTGATTCTGCCTCAAAATATTTCTTCTCTGTTTCTAATTTGAATTTTGTCAGTCCTTACAGAAATAATTCCCCTCCACAACCTAAACACAACTATGTTTCAGATATTTGAGAAAAGTTAAAAACAGAAGAAAGATTTTGAAAAAACTAAAATTAACTTTTGGCTTAGGCTTTTTTTTTCCCCCCTATTAAAACTCAGTGGAAGAACACAGCAACAGCAATGAGAGACAGTGATGTTTCAAAGAACATGACAGCATTTCTGTTCCTTTAGAATTACTGTTGCATTAGCTTTTGCTTGTTTGCAGAGTTTTCCTTTTGAGGAAAAAGGAACTCCTTTCAAGTCTCATCCACTATTCATTTTTTCATCAAATACTGCCTGGAAGAGACACACATTTTTTGAGTTCATAAAAAAATTATCTCCAAAAGAGAAAAGAAATAGAATTGTTGTTTTAATTATCTTTTAACTTCAATCTTTTGTAACAATTTGTTATGCAAAGGGTAGTGAAAAGCTCTTGCTATTTAATTCTGGATGTATTTTGTTTGCTTAATAACAATTATGTAGACAGCCTGTAAAAGACATCACTTAGTTCAATACTGTAAAAGTAGTTTTTGAAAAAATGGGTAGTTTAGAATTCAATGGTCAATACCTTGAAAAATACAAAATTGTTTTTTTAGTGTAAAATATAGTTGAAAATTTTGGAAAAGAATGAAAAGAACCTCTTTCTACATGTGGCAGCTATCTCATGTTTAATCCAAGTGTCACAATTGAGTTCCTGTAATGCACTGTTCAAGCCACAAGTGTTCAGTCTTTAGCTCAGGCACAGGGAACAACTACTGTGAGTAAATATTGCAGTGTTTAATGTTATGAAAAGAAAAAAAAAAGGCCTTTGGCACACATGTTTTTCAATTTTATAATACAACTTTGAGAGAAAAAATAAGAATGCATGAAAACACTTTTTTAGCAGATTGAAATCTGAAGAAAGTCACATATTCCTGGTGCTATTATAATTTTTTACTCATGGGCTATGCACTGTGAACTGCTACAATGACACCAACAAGAGGAATCTTGTCCTGCTTCAAGTATAGTACTTTAGAAATCAATGACCATCCTGTGTTTAATGAGTCGTAGAAAACACAGTTAAAAGCTTGAAAAACTGTAGAAGTTATGCCTACAGCTGCCTCACAGATAGGCAAGTCTTATTTATATCCAAATTAGTGCTTTCTTCTCTGTCTGCCTTTTCCCCTCTAAGTTAAAACCAATATGTGTGGGTAAGTGGCTAATTCAATGAATCTCAGACCTCTGCAGAAAGTCATGTCCACATTTTGATCCTACCAGACATTTCTTAGTGTCTCTTGGTGGTTATTCCAAGGAGATAGTCAGTTTCCCAAAACCTGTGGTATCAAGCAAATTTAAATACAAAAGAGCATTTTCATCAGCTTTGGCTTATTTGCTAGTGCCAGTGTACATTTCTCTGAGCCTTAGGGATATGGCAGCATTTTGAAGAAAGTATGAGAATGAAAAATAAAAATTACATATTTAAACTTTGCCTGAATTGTGAATAGCTTCTATGGTAAGGGACAATAGTAGAGATTTTAATATACAAGAATTATTCATAAACATCGCTTACACTACAAATTCAGCTGAACTTTGTAAGAACCTTTTTCTTAAAACAAATAGCAGTTAGGAGAGAACTCTTCCATGTTTTTCTTTTTCAAGAAATTACATGTTAAAATTCTTCATCAGGCTCTGCGATGGTAAAAGTTAATGTGGTCTTTTTAATTGGAGATGAAACTGACTGTGTCCTTCACTTTTTCTGCACTTTCAGCATCCGTCCGCAGTGAGAAAACACAGCAGTCTTCACTGCTACAGGCAACATTTAGAGATAGAGGTATCCAACCCAGTAGACCAGGTTAAACAGCAGGAAGGATGTAGGAAAAAAGACCCTAGAGTAAGAGTCCAGTTCTAAGATGTCTATGTGAATCCGTCCTCTCCTCCATGAGCCTGATTTACACTCTTCATAACAACAGAAAAAGCTCTGACAGTCTTTCCCATCCAGACATTCATAGACACACGCATCTTCAAAATCTTGCCAATACATGGTATTGTTCAATGTGATGACTGTAGTTGGTGGTCTCATATCAAGTACAGAATAATTCTGAGGAGAGAAAAAAAATTGCAACAGTTTGACAAATCTCCCTGGATGGTGCAGATCAAAATTAATAATCACAGCAGAAAGCAATCATTTTTTCACACTTAGGAATTCACTTACCTGTCAGAATATAATTTGCAGGTTGTTTTAAACACTTGCAGCAACCACATTTAAGATGGATTCAAAAATAAGGAAGATCTCCCCCCTCTCCATTTAATTATACAATGCCCTCCACTTCACATAGGTGCATCCACTGCCTCTTAACTTCACTATGATTTATAAGAACAGATTTGGTCAGCAATAGATAGTGATCACTTCAGTACAGGATTTCAAAAGGCCATCCCGAGGCATGTCCCCTTAGTGCTTATCACACATGCTCAGAAATAGGAATTTTGATGTCATGCATCCTCACAGGAGCATTCATGCTTACAGACCTTTCCTTCTTCAATGTACCCCCTATCTACACTTTGTCAGCTTTTCTGTCACATCATTTCCTTGGCACGCAAGATGCCTTCTCACGAGAGTTTCCCCTCATTAAACCACCCATTCCATCTTCACAAGTGTCACCTACTCCACTGACATCACTAGAAAAGGTCCCATCAGCTTTGCTGCCTGTCAGTACCATCCTGACATAGCAGACACAGCCCTGGCAGCCTGGCTTATCTACCTGAGGCCTTTCCTCTCCCTGGCACTGTGCCAAGCATCGGCTTTGCCTGCAGGAACAGGCTGGCTGTGCCAGAAACAAGCTGGTCACAGCTGCTTGCATTAGGAAAATGCTCAGGGCTCTTGTTTCCATATTACACAAAGTGCTCAACATTTCCTGCTGAAGGTGTTGGGGGGGGGGGGGGGGCGTATCTGAAAACTTTCCTTCTGGATGTGAGAAACACTGGTGATATGACTGATGTGCCTCAGTAGGAATGTTTCCTTTTTATATTGACTTAATTTGCTTTCTACAAATCTTTTGGTTTGGCACACCGTAGTATTACCCATCTCATTAAAAATGCTGGTCCCTGAGCTAAGAACTTGATATGGCATCCCTCTACTTAGATGTTGGCACTGCCAACACAGACAACTACACCTGAACAACTGCCCTATGGAATCCAGTCAATTACTTCTAGACACAATTCATTTTATCATAAGTAAACGCTAAAATGTCTCAGGTGCATTCTTCCGTGAACTGCAAACAGATTGCAGTTTAGAAGCAGATTATTGCAAATCTATTTGTTGTGAATGACTTTATCTCTGAGATTAGATGACAGAAATTACACCTGTATGGTCTTCTCTCTCTTTTGTAAAGTTTTGTGTGGCTTGTTTCAGAGCCTTACAATGTGTTGCCATGTGAAACAGGTATAAGATTATTGTACAAGCAATCTTTTTTTACTCTAGTACTATGGAAAGAAAAGACTATGATTAGAGTATACACAGAGTTCTGCTATACCACTGTGTCATATATTGTATATTTATTGCAGGTCTTTATGAACATTTCCAACTCAGGGACTGAAATTTTCCATGCCTGTCTAAAATATTTATGTTAAAAAAAAAAAAGACTCAGAAAGGTTTTGGTGAGTGATGATAAAAAAGTGCTCTGGCTCTGCAAAGGAAACTTCCTCATCTCTGGGGTATTTTATTGTTGTTTTGTTATATCAACTATCTGCTCAGGATAGAAGATAAAATAATTCCCCTAATAATTCAGAGAGATTCATCTGGTTGTTTTAATCTCTGTCACGTAGGAGGTATCCTGAAGTGATCAGATATGAGGGGAAGGTGGATGGTCCACCCATGGTTCTATGTGTCCAGCTGAGCTGGTGTGTTTTCTAGGAGGGAAATAAAAGGCTTGGGATTACCTGAACATAGATTTACTAAGATGAATAAATTTCACCTTTTAAGTGTCATTACTACAAAGCTGAAAAAGACAAAATGATATCTTGAGAACCAGAGACATTACTTATTTAAGCTCTAATTTGAAGGTTTCTTTGTATAGACAATGTCCTCAGTATAGACAAAGGTGCTCAGTAACTTAAGGTGAAAAAAAACAGTGAGTAAAAAACCTGAAAAGAGTGAGTAAAAAACTTGAAAAATGCTGCAGATGCTTTCCAAGCAGATCAGAATGACTAGTTCTAGATAAAGGTTTTTAAACCCTAATGTCATTTTAATTATCTTTCCCTATAGCTTTTAATTGGAAAAAGGAAAGTGCTGCTACCCATTCAACATGCTCTGTTAACTTCATCTTCCAGAAAAGTCTGTCCAGGGAGTGACAGCAGTATAAAGTGGGTAGATGTGATGGTTGCTGTAAACCACTAATAGCCAATAAGGAGACTTTCTAAGTTATATGAGGTCTTAAAATACATCAGAGAACTTATGTTTAAAATAAAAAAGTGTATATTAATATTTGTCAAATGATAGGCTAATAACATAGATGTGGCAGTTGTTAATGAGAAACTTCATCATATCCAACCTAAGAAATGCAAACCCCAGTGTCTGAGTTCTGGCTCTGATGGCAGACCATTCAACCAGCTGGTAAACTCTCTTCAGGCTTTCTGAATGCTTTATATTTGCATACACTATGGCAGGTATTCACACAACTTAGAGACACAATATTGTGCTCCGTTCCAACTTTATTGCTGCTGCACATATTCCATTTGTAGATACAACACAACCACCAGTGTTCAACTTCTGTGCCTAAATTATTTGAAAATCAACCTGAATGCTTACTAAAGGTTTTGCATATGCATAAATGAACTTTCTTCTTTTCTATGAAACTTAGTTAAAACTCCATAAAAGTTTATGACATAACTTGTGCTTATTACTTTCTCATAAAATGTAGTGAAAATTTCTGTATTATATAAAGCAGACACACAAAACTTCTGAGGTAAAAATAACACATAATATTCTATACTTGACCCTTCTCCCTCTCATATCACTTGATAAGTCCTTATAGAAAGAGGCAGCTATGTTCCTCTGCCACAGCTGAAAACAAACTGACCTTTTAACAAAAATGCAAACCAATATTTTTAGTGAAGTCAGGGTAAAGCATAACATAGCAATACAGCTCTGTCAGGAATTAGTGCAAGTAAATGTCAACCATCTATTCATGCCCCCAATTCTCTCACTGAATAAAGTAACTTACTTACCATTACATGACCAAAACTTACATCAGGTAGCTTAAATAAAGATAAAAGAAGAATTATTCAGAAGAAAACATACTTAGTGCTTCACACGCATCTCTATTCAATAGTATTCCTTGGACCAAGCCCTTAAATGCATAAAACACTCCATGCAGTGTGTTCTATATATATTCAGCATAATTCTGTACACTTGAAAATGGCATGAAACTTCAACAGAATGCATGTCTGGTTTTCATAAACTTAAAATACTTATTCAACCCAATAAATTTATTTATTGATCGAACAATAGGTAACTGAGCATTTTTCTGGTGTTAATTTAAATCCATCAATGTTGCATGCTTTCTCATGTCTTCATTTATATGTCTGGAATTACATCCTACTAACAAACATACTCATGACTTTTTAATTCAGGCTTTCTATAGGATGGCAATTTTAGTTTGATCATTAGCGAGTTCATTTCGGTCTCAAACTTTTCTTTTGGTACCAATCTTTTGCTTTTGTGAGCAATGCATTTTTCTAAGAAGCTATTTTAGGTTTAATGGAGTTATCATTGACTAAGTCTGTGGCTTTCTAGACTTTCTCTAATCCCATATTTGTTTCAGCTTTTCCTTCATTAGTTCTTCATTCAATCATTTTCTATAGCTCTTCATTCAATCCCTTTTTACATCATGACCTATTATTCCCTAAATTTAGGCTTCTCTCTCCTCAATTTCCTTCTTCACATTTTTCCTATTTGGCCTTGATTTCTGATTTCAAATGTCCTTATTTCCTCTATTACACACAATGGCATTCAACATGTCCAACTACTGATCATGAACAAATAATATTTTTTGCTTGATCTTGAGTGGTCAACCCCCTTCCATATATTTACGCTGAGATTTTTTTTTTATTAAACTGCCCCCTCTCATTCTCATAGTCAGGTATGAAGTAAACCAGGCAATGCTTCCTGCATTATTGTTTTAGTTGATTCTAAATAGATAAATAGATAAATAAATAGATAGCTTTTATTTTTTTTCTGGGAGTTACACTTAGAAGTTGTTTTTTGGCCAAAAATGAGCCATGCCTAAAACCTTTTTAAGTGACGTCCATTTTTGTCCTTAGGAACCTGCACCGTTGTGCACAGGGCTTAAACCTAATGCTGGTTCCCAGCATAGACAATGAAAGTCTGCTCATAAATATTTTTAGACCTGTTAAGCCATGAAATAGCAATGAATTTGAATATACATTGATGTGCATTTATTTGTATAACAAGCTATGCAATCTGTTTCAGTGGGAGACTTTACCAACTACCAGCACAGTAATTGGAGGACAAAGGATGTGTAGGCAGGATTGCTGCTCCATGGTGAGCAGGCTGCTTCTGTTAGGAACAGACCTCACTCAGCAGGCACGTAACTCCTACAGCTCCTGTGGGTGACTTTTCCATCAGCTCTCAGGGCAGATCACACAACTGGGAAAATCTTGGAGGAGTGAAGTGCCATGGGATTACAGGCTACCATTAAATGATTATCTGCTCTCTGAGCTGCATATGAAAAGAAATTTAAATGCTCTCATCTTACCGACTTTTTCTTCTTAGTACAGTTTGGTTTCCTGCAACTTGAGTAGTAGTTGAGGGTGGCATACTCCATCAGAGCAGCAAATACAAATAAAAAGCATACAGTCACAAACAAATCCATGGCGGTGACATAGGAGACACGGGGCAATGACTTTCTTGCAATGGTACTCAAAGTTGTCATGGTCAATACTGTGGTGATGCCTGCAGAGAGAAACTTGAGTTAATTGTGTGCTACATCACTTCTTTATATCACAGAAGAATCTTTGGAAATAAATATACAAAAGAGAAATCCAGAGTGTACCCAAGTAATTAATTAATTTGGTAGTGTTAAGAAATAATGGAAAATAGTATCAATAGGGACAAAGTTATTTTGAAAACTTATGTTTGATATAAGTTACAGTGATTCACAGATTTGCTCAGTTGTTTATTTTCATGTTTGTAAAAGTGACATTCCTATGTGTCTCAATATGCTTTTCTTCATCTCTTCCTTTTTCTGATCCCAGTAAGGTTGAGGATGGGGGTGAGGGAGAGAATGAAGAAATTTTTGAAGAGGAGTATGAAGCAGAAAAGATACTAAACCCAGAAAAATAAAATCAAGAAAGTTAGTAAGCAGTGAAGGAAAGATGTTCTATTCCACAGTAGTAGTGCTCTCAGGAAAAATCTTATGATCAAAAAAGAGGTGGGGGGAGAAAAAAAAAAGATTGTGCTAAGATCTGACCATGAATTCTGAAAGTATGTCTTCACACCACTGCTTCCTTGGGAGTCCTCCAGTGCCATTTTCCTTCTGAGTACGGGAAGTCAATATTACTTGCTCAGTCAGAGTAAGACTCTCATACAAACTTCAGATGCAACATTAACAGAGATAGCCTTTTTAATTCATACAAAGCATCACTTCTGAGATTGATTTAGTAATAGTGAACAAAATGGGATAAGTGTGAAATATCCAAAATGATAAAACCAGTGCTAAAATGAAATCTATGTCATGTAAGTTGACTCCTAGTAATTCATACAATTTCTCTTCATTCCTGAGGAATAGTAATCTTTTCATTCTCAACTTGTTATGAACTGTATGTCTTCTGATAGTAAAAAAATCCAACTTCTTATTGACTAGGGAAAAAAAATAAAGCTTTCCCACAAGAAAGTCTCAAGAGAGAACCTTCTCAACAAACAGCATAGCCATAAGGTAATCTTTCTTTTTTTATAGTTAAAATGATGTTTCACAATGGTTCATAGTGTTTGAAATGGCAAGGAATGATGGAAGTTATGCCTTATAGTTAAATAACTTCTCACTAAAAGCACTCTGGAGAGAAAGAAGTATCTGTGGATTACTTTTGACTACTTTCTCTTTATGAAGAATTGTCCATCTCTGGCTTGTAATGCTTGATATAAGCTACAGTGATTCACAAGAACAACCTTCTCCATTCAAGATAACAGAAAGTCCCTGGAAAAGCCAGAAGGCAAATTATTGCCTGTGTCTCAACCTTGAATAATAATGATTAACTGAATTCCCTATATACCTGTTACCCAGAAACAAACAAATAGAAAGTTTCTGAAAAAAATCCCAAGTCAATAACCAAGATGAAAGCACTGCTGCTAGGAAGTGTAAAGTGTGGACTTTGTGTGTGCCTTGGACATCTAAAAGCCATTTCCTGTAATCTATGCCACCTCCCAGTATAAGCAGATAGGGTTGGCATGATCCAGCAACCTCTTCAGAGCCCTCAATACCAGTTCTGTACCCAGCTGATGGTTTAAAAAAGCTGCAAAGACTGTGTTGGCCAACTGCAGAGATGCCCTAGTGGAGGAGGTGTGAACTGGCTGGCTTTGATTTGACCCTTACTAACTCAATCACTTTCTGTATGGTCTTGATCCAGGCCTTGGGAGTCACTAATTTCAAAAGAACCACATCCAGACCATGACATACCCTACAATATAAAATCAAGTTCTTCAACACTTCCTAATCCACATTTAGATTTGTGACACAAAAGTGTTCTTTTCAGAGCCACATGTACATGCTTTCAGGCATTTTACTATCTTAAAAAAAATCCTCAAAACCTATAGAGTTCTTCCAGTACAATACACAGAGTCCCATTTACCTGGACTCAAATGTAAGTTTTTGTTTCCCATTCATCATGTGATAGGACAGATTTTATTAAAAGGGTAAAAAAAATCATTAGTTTATGCATACAAGTCCTCAACTCACCTGTATCCTACTCCATGCCTTAAGCCTGAATATGAAACAGCAGCTCAGATCATGCTTGCAACTGGATTCTTGCTCACATTGTAAACAAGCACTGCGTTTTTGAAATTATGAAAATTCTATCTAGTGTATCAATTTTACATCTAGCAAACAGGCACAAATTTTAAAATGTTAAAATGAGTTTATGGGGATACATACAGAGAGGAAAGAGAAAGAAGGTGCACCAGATGATACAGTTTTGTATTTCTGTACATTTACAAATCAGAATATATATATATATATATATGTATGTATGTATGTATGAATAAAATTCAGCACCATTATCTCCAAATATAGTATCTAGGTTTCATACCCTTAATTAACTTCATCTCTCATGGTAAGGAAATTCAGTTTGTTGAGTGGTTTCAAATGCATACGTCTTGCCAGATGAAATTGTGAAGTCTCTCACTTTGTGGAGTCCCGTATGGCAAAGGGAGCTTTGCAGCTGTTGTTGAAATTCACAGGGCTCATGACCTATCTATTTCAACAGAATTTTAGTATCAGCTAAGGACAGCTCTGAGGTAACCTGACTTCAAAATTTTCAGGTAGAAATTGTATGTGTAGGCCTACAAATCTCAGTGTAAATACCATTTTGGGATATATTCCATTTTGGCTATATTCTCTCAGTAAATCCCATACCAAAGATGCTATTTGATATAAAAATATGACTGACTGGAAGATCAAATCATGCAGATAAACATAATGCATGAAAGCATTCTAAATTTTAGATCGCTGGTCTAAACAGTTATTTAAAATTATGACTGCTTGAAATCTGCTTACTGGACAGCCATATGCAAAGTGAGGTGGCTGGAGTTTCAGTGTTAGAAACTCTTCGGTCAGCAAGGCTAATTTTTTATTTTCTTGAGGTTATGTTGGTGGGACACTAAAGGAAATGTCTTCTGCTTTCACGCATGCTATCATTTGTCCATAAAGTTTGTTCTCCATCTCTCTGGTCTGGCCCCTGTTTTGAGTACTTTCTTGGTTTTCTAGTGAATGAGGTAAAGATGAAATGGCAAGGAAAGCAATGTTCATTTTTTATTAAATATCATCTGTATCTTTTTTTTTCATCAACACATTTCTGGCCTTGATACCCATGGTATCTTTTTAAACTGAAGTTCAATCTTTCTCTGTAGTAACTGCCTGGTCCTATTACATACTATACCCATTTTGAAAAGTACAGGGAAACTGAATGAAAGCTTCAGCTTAACTTAACAGAAAATAACCTGTTATTTTTCAGATCATAACTTCAGGGAAAAGTTGCCTCTTGACTTAGAACATTTTGAGATAATTTTGATTACTAGATACAAGCAGAAGCTGCAGAGAGACATTTCTTTCTCTCTGAATGAAGAGCAGAATAACTCAGGATCAAAAGACACAGTTCTCATCCAGCACTCAAATTTTATTTCCATTTTCCCACTGACTCTTTAGGTGGCCTGGAGTTAATCTTGTTGCCAGTCTGGGCCTTAGTACCTCAAAGTGCATGTAAAAAGGGGATTTAGAACCCAAGTTTTTAAAGAAGGCTTTAATGTCTCTGGACATCACTGCTGAAAGAATACTTATGGTCCCAAACCCAAAATATTTTTTTCTCTCCAGCATGGAAATGTATTAGCTAGCATTATTCAGAAAGGAATAAAACCTGTCCTTCATGTAACTGTGAGTAGTTGCCAAAAACTTTGGAAATTATTCATTAATTTCAGAGAGATAAATATTTCCCTGGTGCTTTACATTAATGCAGCTATACTTGGAGAAGGTTTGTTCCACAGAGTCTCTACAATTAATTGCCACTAATTAGTAGGACAATTTCAGCAGTTTGCCTTGGGCTGCATTACTCACAATTTTACCATGTGCCACTGTCTAGATGTGGATATGTGCTGTTGCTCAGACAGATTTGTAAGTTGCATTATACATGCAGATCTACAGCACAATCGGAGCATCTGCTTACTGCATCCCAGGAGTCAACAGGCCATTGTCAATTTGGGAGCAACGGGATTCTGTGCACTAAAGAAGTGACCCATATATACTTGGCTTTACTTTAAGAAAAGTCATATTTTAGCCTATGAAATTAAATTCTCAGTCAGAGTTTTAGGAGTGAGTCATGACATCCATAGAGTAGAAGCTTGAAACAACTCATTTTTATGTTCTTACTCCAAATTAATGATTTCAGTATCTGAATACACTTATTCTCTGAACTTCACGCTATCTGAGGGGTGAGGTGGAGAGTCACACATTAGTGCTTAGTGATCTAAAATACTTCTGTGTCTAATTATTTGAAAAAATGAGCTTTGTGGTGTGGGGAACCACCCTTAGTTACAGGATATGAAAAATGCTTATGGCAAATCAATAACTACTTATGAAAAATGCTTATGGCAAAGTGTTATTTTGTCTCTTTTTTCTTCTCCATTAAGAAGGATAATACAGCTGTATGCTATGTGATTCTCCCCATGCACAGGGTTTCAGACTCCCTTTTAAAAAAAGATGGAGAACAGTCAATCTTTCCTTATCTCCCTTGAGTCACCTAATTTAAGAAGAAAAGAGTTCAATTTAAGAGTTCAGCAGAGAGTTATACTTAAGACCTATTGCTCAATTTTCTGGCTATCAGAGGCAAGTCCACCCTGCCAGGAACAGGCAGTTGTAAGCTGCTCTGTCCTCACCTGTGTATGGTCTTTTTGCTGTTCTGGAGGTGTTACTGGATAACAGAATAACTGTGAGTCTTTGTGTCCATCCTGTTGCTGGAGCTGTGGTGTATGGGCCCTTTGGCACTCACATGGAGGGAATGAGGACTGAATATTCCTTTCCTTTAAATTAATCTCAGAAAAATGGACCTACATAGTAACAAACTCCAGCAGGAGGATGCAATGAAGCACTGGGAATGGCTGAAAACAGACATGCAAACTTTGACACAGGCTCCCCTTTTTTTCCTAGACTAGAAGTTTTCTGAATCATATTGGCAGACCTGGCAATCACAATCTGAACTAAGGAATTGTTTCTGATGTTTACATACAATTGGCTGTTACATACCCCTATACCCTTGATGCTGTCAAAACCTGCAGGCCTTCCTACAGATGTTAAAAAAAAATCTAAGTCTAAGTCAAAAATTCTAAGGGTACACTAAAGCACATTGCCAAAATACACATGCTCGTCCTGACCAAAACGAGTTTCTGGAAAACCTAAACCAGCATAAATATTCACAATCTATGAAAAATATCAATACACCCAGTGTGAAGCTTAACTTCAAGCATGCAAGCTAAAACACTTTGCATGAGTTAATACTATTATATCCCACAGTTTTCTGTATATATAAGACATAATTGCCAGTGGGGGAGAGTTACAGAAGTGAAGAAAGCCAGCAGTGCAATTAATTAAGTCTTCAAAAATGTCACTAAAATATCATGGTGAGAACAAGGAGACAGACATTAATTCAAGAGTTTTATGCAAAATAGGTGGCAGTGTCATCCAATGGGTCAGATTAGTTTACTTTTAATTACCCTGTTACAGGAAAAAAACCCAGTGGTCTCAGTAATAAGTAGATCTGGTTCTGCAACACATAGTAATAATAATCCAAAGGGTATACCTAGTGGTCTCTTTGAAAGGAAGCTGACATTTTCAAACAGAAGTGCAGGAACATCAGGAAAGGGAATTATTAACAACTTACCTAATGCTGTTCTTGCTGGTGTGGCATCTTTTTTGATCCAAAAGGATACCCAGGAAAGAACAACTGTTAATATACAGGGAATGTATGTTTGTATAGTGAAGTATCCCATTCTTCTACTTAAGTCGAAGTATATAGTCATGACTACATAATCACCTGAAATAATAGCACAAAAAGGAAATTTGCATTGTAATGGGAAACAGATAGTTGTTCACTGACCTGCTAATATTTTAAGTTTCATGAAAACTGCATATGAAATATTTTTTAGAGTTTCAACAGCATCTGCACAGTAATTCTCATGTGAAATTTAAGTAAATCGTGCCATTCTAATATCCTTAAATTTTAGGTCTCTGTGGATATAATGTATTTGACAGGCAGAGCTTCTCAGCAATCATTCTGGATGAGTAAAGTTTTGAAAGGCATCTTGAATTTCCAGACATGGCATTTCTGGATATCTTCATTGCCACAAATGTGAAGGTACTGTCTTTCGCCAGATTCTGCAATCACTACACACAAAACCCTTCCGTCTGCAGGCTGTCTGTTCTGTGCCCTAATTTCAGGTTTTAGTGACTTCTGTTATCTTCTTTTGAGATATGAATCTGAATATAGGGTCTTTTTGGCAAATGTAACATGCACGTGAGTATGCCTTTACAGAAGAAGAAGTGTCATTAATAGACACTAGAACTCAATTAGAACTGGCATTTCAAAACAGTTGTGGCCATCTGTGGTATTTTCTGAAGGTCAGTCTGAACACAAGGTTTATTGTTTTGCTGTGTAGTAAAAATCATACATTCAAGAAATCAGTAAGAAGGTTAGTTTATCCCACAGTACATGAGTTTTTCACTGTATCTCTTCTGCTAATCCTTGTGATTCCACAGGGGATAATAATCTGTCCCTCCTCTCTCCCCAGTAGAGGCTACTGACCCTATCACCTCTGCCCTTACTAACAGATCTCTCAGCCTCACAGATGTTCACTTTCTGAGACAGTCATGGTGAATAGCAGTAATAAAACTGAACTGAGACTGTTTTTTGTACTTCACTTGAAGTAGTTGCTTCCATTTCAGATGTAAAGCAGAGCTTATATGCCAGAGAATTTCTGTGTGGTTTTGTCTGACTGCATCAGGTTTGGCCTAATAAATTTTATGGCTTCTTGTTACAAACCTTAACTTTCTAGAGTATGAATTTGCAGAAGGCATCATTTGCAATAGTTAAGTAACTCTGTCTTCTCACAGCAAACCATCAGAAGAATGAAGAAATTGGAAACATATAAAGATTAATCCCCCGAGAAATGTACATACAACTCGCCCAAGCAGAAGCACAATGGGTTTATTAGTTGAGGCAAATTAAAGCTTAATCATCCAGTAACAGAGGACATATAAACAAATGCATTACTTACAATGGATAATTTGACTACAGCTAAATATTATATAAAAAATAAATTAACTCAGTAAGACTGACTTTCATCCAAAGCATCTCTGACGTCACTGTAAAATCAATGAAATGCCATAAGTTAGAAACTTAAAGGTAAATAAAAATCTGATGGTGGGAATTTGGGAATGTGTGAAAAGGAAAAGTTCCTATATTTAAAGTACATCCATTTGAGATAGATATATTTGGAAGAGGTTGACAAGCCGGTGAATGTTTCCATAATGCCTCTGTTAGACAAAAGCAAACATTTTCACAACAATTGTGCCAGTGAAAACTGTGTGACCCCAAGAAACTGGAAAGTCATTTCAGAAGCTGTCCTTAAAGGGCTCACTCTGGATACAGCTAGGAGGTATTGCAGTGCATCATGACATTGTGAGCCTTGTGGCTCAGGGTTATTGTCATTCCACTAATCCCCAGCAGTCTTCTCTATGCAGGGAATGGCACCAGGGAATTGATGTGGGTTAGCGACTACAGGTTCTGCTGGCTTACTAGTTTGGCTAGTTTGCCTCACTGAAGAAAGACTTACACCACAGCAACGAAATAATTTCATAGAAACAGGTGTAAAGAGTCAGGTGGAGTGTAAACCAGTGCTTCTACTGACATGAACAAACTGAAAAGAACGGAAGTGAATCAAAAAAGCATGTTAATGAGTCAAATATTGTCTACCAAGGTAGAAGAATGAGCAAAAAAATGTAATCAAAGACTCTAAAGGAAATGTGTCAAGCCTTTCCATTTCCTTCACTTAGTTCCTGTATCTAGAGCTGTGTGTTTATGGATAAGCTGCCTGAGAATGCTATAAAGTCAAGCACAATCTGCACACCTCCATTGTGTATAACAATGTATGATACACACAATTCCAGTACCCACACAGGTCACTGCTCCTCTCAGTAGTGTGGTCATGAAAACCAGCCCAGCAACCAGGAGTAGGAGTAGATACTGCACTGTAAGATACTGGGAAAGTAATAAAGAGTCTCTGCTTCCAAGGCCTTTGATGAAAATAAACCTGATAAACATGAGAGTGAGAGAAAATTATGGTAAATGACATAGAGAGTCCATCATCACAATTAGTCATTAACTGATTTAGTGTCCTTTCAGGCAGGATTAATTTCCTGTGATTCTAGACATCTAGAAGGCAAATTCTGCAGATAACCTGCACACTGTGGCCTCTTTTCTACACTTAATGAAAAGAAATTGGTACTTTCAGTATATGGTTTGTCTTATCTGCTTTAGAAGCACAATTTAGAAGGGGAATGTATTCAAAACATTTACATTTCTCTCCTGTGATTAAAAAACAAGAGCATAGGGCTGAGATGTGGACAAACCCATTGTAGACACTTGCAGATTACACAAGGAGTTGGCCACATCTCTTGATTCCACGGTGAGAGCCAAATTAGGCTACTCCTGTGAGGATGCCAAAGTTATTTTATTTAAATATAATAATCTTGATATTTTAAAGGGTATTTTAGTTATTTTCCTCCTTTTCCCAGTCAAAATTGATACCTTCATCCTTTAGGATACACACAACTCCTCTGCTTGTTCCTCTGTTTTTCCTTCCTTCCTTCCTTCCTTCCTTCCTTCCTTCCTTCCTTCCTTCCTTCCTTCCTTCCTTCCTTCCTTCCTTCCTTCCTTCCTTCCTTCCTTCCTTCCTTCCTTCCTTCCTTCCTTCCTTCCTTCCTTCCTTCCTTCCTTCCTTCCTTCCTTCCTTCCTTCCTTCCTTCCTTCCTTCCTTCCTTTCCTTCCTTTCCTTCCTTCCTTTCCTTCCTTCCTTCCTTTCCTTCCCTTCCTTCCCTTCCTTCCCTTCCTTCCCTTCCTTCCCTTCCCTTCCTTTCCTTTCCTTCCCTTCCTTCCCTCCTTTCCTTTCCTTAAAGCACCAGTGTTTCTTTCAGAGGCAAGCATGCTTCGGTACAACATATACTGAATGAATTTCTTTAATAGCTATGGTAAATTAAAATGTTCAGCTAAATTATTACTTCATTTCTATCCTCAGCCAAGAAAACTTCTGTTGAGATTACTGGATTCTCTCATTATATTCAAGAGCCACATTACATACAAGAGTATGTGCTGTGGCTGCTTTCCCTATTGCACTACTCCAAACTGCATGCAGCTCCTGCTGATGATGATTATATTATTCTTCACATTACTCCTTCCAGAAGTAAATGTTCTCTATGTATTTGAAAGCATTTCATGCACATTGAAGAAAAGTAGCCACGGTATGTGTATTTTTTTCTTTATACACACAAAATAATCTGTGCAAAGAAACTCTCCTCTCTTCTGAAAGACTTCTTTTTCTGGGATACAATTCATTCTGTACATCCTGCACTCATGCACAACCCAGAGGAGAGAAAAACTTTCAAGAGCTCTGCTCAGTGCCTCCTTGTACCTTTGAAAGCCTTCAGAGCTCCACCTGCTGTTACTGCCACTGCTAGAAGGGCAGCTGGGGGTCATTGTATGACAAAGTTCTGCAGTGCAGGAAAGATGGGAAAAGTCTCCTTCCAAACTGCATGACATTGAACCAGTGCACTAGGTTTGAAAGTAATCACAGTGGTTTCCTAGCAAAGGACCACTGGAACAGCTAATACCAATAAACTTCATTTTTAAACCCAGAGAGGAATTCTACCTTTTAACAACTTAAATAATATTCCCAGGAAGACAAACTTACTTTGAACGAAATGATCAGCCATCAATTCACTGAAATACTGAAAATTATCTCGAGGCAAAATAGAGCGGGATCAGTTTTCTATAAAGGGAGCAAAATGTGCACCTTTAGGCAGCAAATCTGGAGTAATCAAAATAGTGTAGCAATGCTTCCCATGAAACCAAGATGACTGCTGGCTGTTACCCATAGGACTTATATTAGCCTAAGTTTCTAGTTTGAAAGTAGGACACTGTTTAGAACAACAATGATTTCCCATGTAATAACTGCTGTGGATTTAATGAACAGTATTAAACTATAGCAAATTATTTTTGACTTTTGAAGACTAAGGGTCTGTTGGCCTGAATTGCTAGAATTTTGCCTTGCACCAAGAATGGCTCCCTTGAAGGTAAAATGTTTGAGCAGAATGCAACTGGTTATTTTATTAAAAATAAATAAATTTAAAAGTATACAAAATTATATACTGTAAATAATTTGTTTATTCAAATTATACTATACTAGCTTATGTCACATTTTCATTCATCCTTCCATTATACTCTGAGGTTGACAATTAACTTAGAAAAAAGATAAAATTATTAACTTTACAAAGACTGAAATATGAAGGTATAATGCATACACAAAGCAGATTCAGCATGGGAATGAAGGTTACGTGCCAATTGTCCATCACAGGAACTGCAGAATAACGAGGAGTGGCAGAGTTTATCCATGTTACGGCAAGAGTTTGATTTCAGAAGAAAAGCCTAGTCATTAAAATGAGGAGTCACACTGTGTGCCACAAGTATTACTTTGTGGATCAGCAAGACCACAGAGACTGAATCATATTCCTCATTATCTTAATAAATCAAATTTACTTAATAGCAATCAAACTAACTTTCCAATCTTCAGTGGTGTTTACATTTTATTTTTTCATTTGGAAGCCAAGAGAAGACCTTATTTAATCTTGCCGTTAACTATTCATGTCACTCTGAACCTATTTTCTGATCTTTGCTTCCCAAAGCTTCATTTTTAATTTCCTGGGCTAGGTTTCTCTTCTTTCTTAGTAAGCTGAATTTTCTGCAAAATGTTCACTAGAGAG